ATAAATGCAATTGTGGCGACGATAAATTCATCGAAAGACGATCTTTCATTATTGCAAATAAAAATTGAAGCGAAAGGGGCAAAAATTACAAATTTTCTTGCAATATTCTCCGATTATCGAACTTTACGAATAATAATTATTTCTTTAACATTGCATAGAATGAAATTCGATTTCGCCCGATGTTTTAAACTTTCCTAAACTGCATGCATATTAATTAAACGATTGCTGTATTATCAATTTACATTACTTTAATATTTTAATCTTATGATTCGCGTTATTATGCATATATTATACATCAACAAATAGAAATAATTAATTAGTGTAAGAATCGAGTGGTGCATGATTTTGACTTCGTTTAAAAATCGAGCGAATTATTTTAATTTTTGTGCTCCTCTCTTGCAATAATAATAAAATAATAATAATATAATAAAAATACGTATCTCGTATGATTATTTTGCGATCGGGAGTGCCGTGCAAAGTGTCTCGCGATCGTTTCTGTATATGACTGAAATATAATTAACTGAAATATAATTGTTTGTTCGCGAGTGAATACGTGAGTGCTACGAGGAAACAATAAAGGATGAAACAAAAAAAGAGAAGAACATCTGGAAAAGTATCGGACAGTCAGAAAACAGGGAAAGAATCTGAAGCAGAGACATGCGGTGAGTAATTTATAAAAATTATTTATTATTTATTATTTATATATACTATTTTTAAAATAGATATATTGCTTATTATTTTATTATCGTTTTATTTTTCGATCATTTAAATATATAATTCGGATTGAAATGCAGTAAAATAATCGAATCGTAGATCTAAATAATTAACTTAACAAAAAGATCCATAAAAGATATATTAGTTCTTTTAATAAATAATATATCGTATACTTAATCTATATAAAAATGGATTATCTATTTATTTCTAAATATTAAATACTATAAATTTAATAGTTATATATTTTGTAAAATTTAATTATAAAAGAATCTTTAAGATATTCCAAAAGAAACGAAGAACTTTTCTCAACGTAGTAAAAGTTAATTATAAGCAAATTTATATTTAATTATTATAATTAATTTGTATTTAATTTTATTGGAATTTTATTATTAATTTTATTGTATTATCAAACTCTACGCGATGTCTGTAATGATAGCTATTCAGGAAATAGGTACAGTGAAATAATCAATTATTATCACTGAAAAAAGGCAATAATATATTTTTAAATCTAATTTAAACTTTTGATAAACGATATAAAATTTTTTTATTATGATGAGAAATCTTTATTAAAGATCATAATTGCAAATAAAAATGGAAATAACTTCACGAAGTTTATTAATCGTTTAATAAATAATTAATCCGTGTGTACGTGTACGTGTACGTGTACGTGTACGTGTACGTGTACGTGTACGTGTACGTGTACGTGTACGTGTGTGTGTGTGTGTGTGTGTGTGAGACTTTAAAGATATGTGTTTAATAAATAATTAATCCGTGTGTACGTGTACGTGTGTAACTTTAAAGATATACTTGTATATAAATACACTTGTATATAACTTTAAAAATATATATTTCCATTATGTTAATTATCCGATTTTTATTCGACTGTTTTATTGCGCGTTCTAAATCAAATTATATTTAGATCAAATAATATCAGAGAGAATATTTATTTATAATATTAGAATTCTAAATGTGTGTGTGTGTGTACACATATATATTAGAATAGAAACGAAATAGAAATAGAAGAATAATCATTGCTCGTAAAGATTGCAACAAAGTAATCATTTATAATGTTGATTCCTGTATCGAATAATCGAGTATCGTATTTCGAGATCAATCAACTATTTATTAGTAATAAAATTGTATATAACTTACGAATATATTCCACTTATTCCGGACGTTAATATCGCGTCAACGACGAATAAACTTTTCAAAAGTTTTCATATATGAGACAGTTCTACCAATCACTGATGCAAAAAACTCGTCAATTGGCCAGTAGGTGAAACTGTTTCAGTCCTGGGTATTTTCTTAAAACAGCTGTTGGCGCACATACATACGTGTATTATGTTTACGCGCGTCACGCGTTCGAACGTACCTTGACATTCTCACAGGAAGACTCGAGCAGCTCTTTCGAATTAAAAAGATAATAATTTAATTAAATGGTTTAGTTAAGTTAACAATTTTTTTCTCAGTGTACACACATTAATTATTTATTAAACTTCACGAGGTATATTAATCATTTAATAATATAAACATATTTATATCCAAGAATATTTTTGAAATCATACACACACGCACTCACGCACACGTACACACGGATTAATTATTTATTAAACGATTAATATACTTCACGAAGTATATTAATCGTTTAATAAATAATTAATCCGTGTGTACGTGTGTGTGCGCGCGCGTGTGTATGTGTGTGTGACTTTAAAGATATACTTGTATATAAATGTACTTGTATATAACTTTAAAAATATATATTTCCATTATGTTAATTATCCGATTTTTATTCGATCGTTTTATTGCGCGTTCTGAATCAAATTATATTTATATTAGATCAAATAATATCAGAGAGAATATTTATTTATAATATTAGAATTCTAAATGTATGTGTGTGTGTACACATATATATTAGAATAGAAACAAAATAGAAATAGAAGAATAATCATTGCTCGTAAAGATTGCAACAAAGTAATCATTTATAATGTTGATTCCTGTATCGAATAATCGAGTATCGTATTTCGAGATCAATCAACTATTTATTAGTAATAAAATTGTATATAACTTACGAATATATTCCACTTATTCCGGTCGTTAATATCGCGGCAACGACGAATAAACTTTTCAAGAAAGTTCTATTCAACGGTTTCATATATGAGACAGTTCTACCAATCACTGATACAAAAAACTCGTCAATTGACCAGTTGGTGAAACTGTTTCAATCCTGAGTATTTTCTTAAAAGAGCTGTTGGCGCACATACATACGTGTATTAAGGTGCAATTTCATTAATGCTACTTTTTAGCGTCAATGAAATTGCACCTTTATGTTTACGCGCGTCACGCGTTCGAACGAACCTTGACATTCTCGCGGGAAGACTCGAGCAGCTCGTACGTCGTTCGTCGAGATCCTTCAAAGCGCAATCGTTCTTCATCATTTTTGCAATGGGTGATTACTAATTTGTACGATATTTATTTGTGCAGCAAGTGGCGTGTTATTTTGATCCCGAGTGAATCATTCTTTGAGATTTTATTGCATTGTTGTCGCGTAGCAAAACGATTTATTTGTCTTTTATCTGTCAGAAGTAATATTCTAATCCGTGAAACATAGTAAATAAGTATAAGATGTAAAAAAAGTTATACTTTTTTTCTTACAAAAAATTTACTATATAACGTAATTAACATTTGATACATAAGCATAAATAGATACACATATTTGTTATTATCTTTAAATTATCCTTTCAATAAAATAATACGTAAGTTAAGATTAATTTGAGATTATATATCCAATATACTTTTATCTTATACATTGACTTTTTTACAGAAAGATAATTGTAATATGATTATAATAAAGAGATGCATGTTTTTATTTTACTATTATGTCCCTTAAATTCTTGTAATTGTTTAAGCTGTATATATTTTATCATCTTTTAATTCCTATCTAAGAATCGAAAACGAAGTGACTTATTTGGTACGTTAATCATAAGAAATCGACTTTGGATATCAGCATAATCATACTCAATTGTAAATTCTCGTACCAACTGTAAAGAGTAAAATATGTATACTTTTTATGTCACTTTTATTGCTTACTTTATTGCGAGAAATGTACCTTTGCAGTGAGTAACATCATTTGTATTTCAGCCATATCTTTTCCTAGGCAGGATCGTACACCATGCCCGAAAGGTAGACATGAATATTCTTGGTAGGAATTATGCTCATGTTCGTCCTGCTTCAACCATCTTTCCGGCTGATATTTGCCAGGATCTTCAAAATGCTCCTCACGCTGTGATGTTATTTGATTCGCCATTATGATGAAAGTCTAAAATAAAAATTACTTGTTATTTTGTGTATATATTTGAACTCTCACCTGCAACTTACTCCCTTCGGTATTGTGTATCCGTGTAGCGAAATTGCTGATGACAATAATCTCGTCAAGTAAGGAAATGCAGGTCGCAATCTTTCATATGAAAAAATACATATAGTAATCAATTTATTATATAACATTTCTTATTCATTTTTTTACATTATAGTCATTATATATATATATATATATATATAAATAAAGTTTTCTAAATTATGAGAAAAGTTAACATAATGAAACTATTGTTTCTCTTAAATTCTATTATACCTAAGGCTTTCTTTTATGCATGCTTTTAAATATGGCATATTTTTCAAGCTTTCCTTTGTTAGAGTTGTTTGATCTGTTTTAAGTAAAACAGAGGTGATTTCGTCATACAATCGTTTTTGTATTCTAGGATTTCTCGCTAAAAAATAAAGCAGAAATGCCTCGCAATTTATGACCTAGAAATAGAAAGAAATAAATTATTACATATATTTATATTATTTTGTTTGCAGCAGATTGTTGCATATTACAGCTTGGACGCCTAGAATAATCATGTCCATCAAAAGAGTAGCAATATCGTTCAAATGGATACTCTGAATAATCATCTTTTCGAGCAATGATAAATTTTTCTTTTCATTTATAGATTCTACTTGTTTTGTTAATGAAGAAGCTTGCAGCTTGTTCTGTGCTTGACGAATATATTTCCCAATAATCCTGAAAAGTAGAGATCTATGTAAATGTGTCATATTAATAAAACATAATATTACTGAAAGTAAAAAGTTTTGTGGTTAACGCACTCGAATAAAATGTTAAATAAATTTATAATTATTATTATATAATATAAAAATATATACAAAATGGAATAATATATTCGATAAATTCTATCAAATTCAAAATGCTATCAAATTTTTCATTGACTCACTCGTCAAGAATGTCGCAAGCTGCAAAAAGTTTTCTAGCGAATGGAGTTTCGAAAAATCTCCACACCTGAAATCCAGTCTCGCATCGAGCCATATAAGTGTGAGCAGTAATTAACGCATTAATAACTTTTGTAATCTCAGACATTGATTTCGAAGTGGAATCGAGAAAACCGAGATGCCTATTGAACATCACTACATAGAAGCATTCCAGACCCCATACGGTGAGTTCCTGATGAAAATTCGCTGGTACCTATTGTTTAAATAATAATTTAAATATTAATCTTCAAGCTATTATACATTTGATTATACTACATTATCGAGCGTGATATTTACAAAAGATTGTTATTATATAATATTATTCTACTTTTTAAATGTTATACATTTACATGTATACGTTAAATTTAAGATAATTAACGTTAATACACATTAAATAAATGTTTATTAATATGTAATGTACCTCGTCCTGTCGATTGCGTATATTACGAATTCTTTTAACGAGTTCGCCACACACTGAATTCAGTTCTCCGATATAATTCGAAATTGTTTCGTGTAAAGGCCGGTCAATTTTCTCTTTCACTTCTAACCACTCCGAACTTTGTCTAATATTTTATAAAGTTTACACTAAATTGCATTATTAAATACCTAATATAACAAATGATTTTTGTCAAAACTATATAAATACTTCTATGTACGAGAAAAAAATATTTTTTAAGTATATCATAAATGGATGGAGCAGCTGTAAATGGAAAAAATTAGTTTTTGATTGACAATGTATTGGCACAACTCAACATCAATAACTATATATCAATAACTATTTTTTTAATGTACTTACTAATTTTCTCTCATATAAATAAATATTATTAAATTCAAACACATTTATTTAATTCAAGAAAAATGTTTTGCTTATAATATATATTTAAATGTATTTTTTGTATAATTAGCTTCATTATTTTTTATATAATTCAATCTTCCTGCGTTATATATTCTATGTAAAGCCAATTATATTACACTTACAGAGAGAATTATATTATACTTACAAAGAGAACGCACCAGCAGAACGACACTTGCGATGATTAAGGTGATAGTGTTGAAGAATATCAATGCCACTACGAATAGCTGACTTGCTCTCTTGCTTGAGAACTTCTGCTATATGTTCAGGCCTAGAATAATTGATAAATTATTGCTTGAAAACAGAAACATATTAATTGCAATATCTCACCTGTGAATCATAATTATATCATTCATAAAAGGGCCATTAATCCGCACAATGCAGCCATATTCATCGAATAAATATTTAATCGGCGTAATATTGCGATTCCAAAATAATCGTCCTGCAAAATAATCCATGGTTTTAGAATAAAAAATACATTGTAAATTTGATCTCAAATAAAAAATAAGAATTAAATAAGAATTTATTTTTTATTTTAGTTAAATAAGAATTTATTTTTTATTTTAATTATTATAAGTAACTAATTTTAAGACACCTTTTTTATATTAGTTCATTAATTAAGAAAAATTAAAATAACTAAAAAATAATAAAAGTTCAATAAAAAAATGTATATATAATATTAAAAATTTATATTATAATCTTAACATTTTTATTTAAATTATTGACATAAATTATAATAAAAACACTTAATTTTTTTTAAATTTTTTGTTCTTTTTTTCTATCGACAGTAAATAATTTGTTTAAATATGTATCTATATATGTGTGTGTTTCTATAAATTCGAAAAACTTTGCACTTAATTAGACGTAGTTTTTCGACTCTAAATCAGCGAATTTGCTTAAAATTCCTAGAGCCAAAATTTATTTATTTATATTCTACGCATCTTACAAAATTGCGTAACTTTTATTTAAGTCATGGTCAATTTGAAAATACAAAATAGCTCTTCGAATTTTAAGCAATTGAATTCTTCAAGGGATCATACCCTGGGTAAATCTGCTGATTAGCAGACTGCAAAACAGTTGCGTACCCAGAAGTGGCACGTATTTCCAGTATTTTTCCCATAACTTGAGTATCATTGGGCCAGGAATATCCTCAAATGGCAACGGCGCTTTATCCACATGATCAAGTGACACAATTTTTGATGCAGAAATTTCAAAGTCTTCCGTGATCTCGGGATTTACTGCCTCCAATAATGGCATCGCTTTTGCCACAGTTGCAGTAATTGTTGGAATTGCATGTGACTGCGTCACGGTAGTAGCTGATGATAAAGGAAGTTTGAGATTATTAATACAACAATTATTGCAGGGAGGTATTTTCTCTTCTTAGATTTGAAAAGCATAATTTGACGAAGCACAATTTATGACTTAAATTCACTGAAAGTTATTGAATATATATATACGATTAAACATCAAGTAATTAAACACCATATTTCTTACTTATTATATCATTGGTGTTGAGTGGTGCACATTTTTCTTCCTTGTTAGCTGTCAATGTGTTTGCTAGTTTCGTTGTTAAGCGATAGAAACATGTTCCGTATATTTGCAAAGAAACATGCCGGGCAACGACAGTAGATCGTCGCATTAAACAATGTATCATCTTTGGAATTAGGATATTTTTATAAGACGTTGTTTATCTACTAAGAAAATTATGTTAAATATTTATACAATTATAGATATTTGTAAAATCAGACAAAGATGCAAGTAAATATATAATAATATACAATTACAGACTCGAGTATAAGTATATAATGTGTAATATATATATATATATATACTTAGAGATTTAAACTTTTACATACCTGCTACTAAATATACAGCTTGAAAAAACTAAAATGATCATGAATTATGATTGTATATAATGACAGTTAGCCATAAATATTCGCGCCGATGAAAGAAGGAAAGGAAATAACAAAGTCGTTGCTACAGAAGCATATCGAAAAAATAGACAATTGTATTTATCGATTATACAAAAATTCATCCTCTGATATTAATATATATATATATTAATATATATGGTAATATATATAATAATATATAATATATATGGTTGTTTTACAATTTTGGAGATTTAATATTAAACGTTAAGGAAATCCTTTTTATGCTTATATATAAAGCATTAACGAATTTATGTCAAACCATTGGTATATACGCCAATTTTACTGTATTGTAAATTATTTTTACATAAAAAAATACTTCATATAATAAATTTTCTTTATTGTATTATTAACTTGCTTATTATTATATGTTCGCAAAATTGAACTTTAAGACATTTTTCTTTAAAAAATGAATACGTAATTATTGCACACATTATTGCTCTTACTCATATTTAATATACGTTATGTAATGTTATTATAATAACAATTCTTCTAATATTCAAACTTTCTCAAAGAACTTTTAAATGTATCATTAAAAAGAATCCAGAATTATTTTTTCTACATACATATATATATATATATATATATATATATATATATATAAGTTTTATAAATCTACATCAATTTCTACGTCTTCTTCGTTTTGTTGTATCGTATCTTTGACGTTGGGTTTAACTAATTTTTGCGGAATATCTTTTTGCGTAGAATCTGGACCAACCGATGCAGCATTCTCGTTCTCTCTTGTATGTCGCCATTTCATCCGACGATTTTGAAACCAAACTTTGACCTAATGATAAAAAAAGCAAAGATCTATTAATTAAACTATATAAATAAATATCTCTTTTATAAATATTTCCTTAAGTGCAATTTTATTTTATAAATAATATAATGACAGTTAGTTTATATGCAATCATAATTTTATAAATAATATAACCTGTGCATCTGTTAAACCTAAAGTTGCTGCCAACTGTCGTCTATCTGGCTTTGTAATGTACTTTTGCAGTGAAAATCTCCTTTCTAAACCTTTCCGCTGTAGTGAGCTAAACACAGCTCTGGACCATGATCTCTTCCTTCGTGTGTTTGTTTCGGAAGAATTTATTGTTGAAGAAGATGATATAGATGCTGAAAAATGATTGTGTTACCTAAATTTATTTAATAACTTTAATTAATAATTTATTTATCTAAATTTTTCTCTAACAGTCAAATTTATTTTTGTTTCTGTATTATAATCATGACTATAATAAATATAGCATTCCAAAAGAGCCATTAAAAAAGAATTTGTAGCTTTCTTTTTCCAGATTTTTATTTAGAATTGAATTAAAGAGATATCAATATATACTCGTATATTTGTATATATATCAATATACTCGCAAAAGATATTGCAATCTCTTATTAATTATGTGGCCGTTCAACAAATTAAGATATAAGAAATCGAACATTACAATTTTTTGAATTTTATTATAATTTTCTATATATATTTGATAATGTTAAAAATTTTATCTTAATGACACATTAGATATTTTTAATCTACCATAAAAATAAATAAAAATACATATATTTAATCTACCATAAAAATAAATAAAAATACATGTATTTATTAAAAATAGAGAGGATTCTTTATATATAAAATATTATAAATATATTCTAAAACTTTTGTATTACAAAGACGAAAAAAGGGATAAATAAATTGCGAATTAGATGGAGAAGCGTCATGAATGATAAACGCTACTTTTGACTCTACTTTGGGTATCAGTTTCTACAGATCTCAATCCAAAGAAGCCTCCAAGATGGGGTACTTTGGGCTGATTTACAACCACATGAAAGTATACAACATCTGTACGTATTTAAACAGTGTGGTGCTCCCACTCAAGCTAAATCTTCGTACAAATTCGAACAGATACCTCTAACATCACAGTTATTTTGGGATTTCAATGTTAATCTCTCTTTGAGCGTATATTTCTAATTCATGAATTCCGTTACATTTCATAGATATTCATGCTATATAAAGGATTAATATAATTATTTAAGGTATTATGTTGGCATCATATCAAAATGCAATAGAAAACAATGCTAGTGTAATAAAAAAGAGATATTGAAAAGAGATTATGTTTCAAATATTCTTATTCTTATGTTAATCACAATAAATTAATAATAATTTAAAATTAAAATATTGACTTATATATTACTTTATATCTTACATTTATATATAAATTTATTATGTTATTAGTATTTAATATGAACCTTTGAAAATACAGGTTATAAGAAAATAACTTATTTAATGTATACTTATTAGCAGATATTTTATTTATTATCTCTCCATTTATTTATTTATTTTATTATTTTATTTTTATTATTAAAATTTTATGATACATTAATAGCAAATAGTTATTAAGAAGGAACAAGAAGAGATATGGGAACACGCTGTCGAATTTTATAATGATCAAAGAAAAAATGCATATTGAAACCACCGTTTACATCATGCGTATAAACGCTCGGTGGCACTTAAGATGTCGTTTAAACACAGACAGGAAACACGAGAATACACTGACACATAAATATTTTGTTCTGCTTACTCCAGGATATCAGAGGGACAAGACAGTGTGTCCATATGGTAACATTTGTTAATGACGTAACCTGCGACTCCCCCGATTGAATCTTCTTAAAGTAATCTTATAAATCTACGCAATAATCATGCTCGTGTTTAAATTTAATTGCTTATTATTAATTAATTATATTAAATATATTAATATTATAATATATTAATATTATAATTAAATATATTATATATTTATTAAATGTAAAATATTAAATATATTTATTAAATATATTATATTATATATATTATGAGTTAAGAAGATTTCAGCATACAATTTTCTCTTTTTCATTCAAAGTAAAGTCTATCTTTTTAATGGAATCTGTTTATGAAATGTGTATTTTATTTATTTTTTTTATATTAGATATCATTAATTCAAAATTTTATTATATTTACATGCTACATTTTTTATTCAATATATACACACACAAAATTTAAATTTAATTTTCTTTTATTTTTAAATTTGAAAAAATTATATTTTTGAAAATAATATATTTAATCGTAAAAATATAAAAATATCACTGAATGTTTTCTTATTACAAATTTTTTAAAAAGTTTGGAATTCTAATTAATTGAGAATAAATAACAAATGATAAATTAAGTTTCCAAAAAATAAAATAAAATTATGTTCTTAATTTCTATCAAGATTTTATGTTTCTCTTTTTCTTTTAATAGAATTTTAATTTAAAATTTGTAAAATTTTAAGAAAAATATGCAATATTAAATTATTAGCTTATTATAACTCACTTCTCAGTACAGGACGTATTGGTGCCGGCCGATATAAAGTTCCTAACTCCATTAATCCAGTATAAGACGTAGATGCGATGCCCTCAGGTAATGATGAATGAGGGTGCGAAAATGACATGCAAGCTCTGACACTTTCGCATTGGCCGCAACTTTCAATACAAGGGCAACATATTGGTGGAAGTTGTATTGCAACTGGTTTAAGAATATCTATCAACGTATTAGTTTCGAAGAATTAAAATAAATTCGCTTTTTAAGAAAATGAAATATGTAATAGACAATATTAAACGCATATAAAATAGTATATACATATATATACATATAAAATTAAGATCACAATTATGATTTTTGGTTAAATATGACAGAACATTGATTTATATCAAATAAGTTTTTAACTAGACAAAAATATACATAACAAGATAATCGAATTTATTTATTTATATGCTACAAATATATATTATATATATATATTTGTAACTTTTGTACTTTTATCAATTTTTACCTGTTTTCTTCGTGCGAATGTCATTTGATAGAATGCGATCCATGCCAAATTTTAATTGTTTTGAACAATTAGAATTATCCATGACGTGAGTACTAGTGCCAATCATTTTCTTTTTTACAAATTTCACACGATGCTATCAATTGCGTTCACGTCACTAGTACTTAAAAGTGTATGTTACTATTTTATAAATGTTACGTATAATCATGCACAATACAATTATACAATATATACTTCTACACTGAAAATTATTATTAAAACTAAAGTAAATTTTTTAAATGACATTTGTGAATAACTATTAAATTATTTTTTCATCTCAATTCACTGTATGCACTTCTTATAATATTATTTTATGCCTGTGCAATTATATTAGGACTTTGACGAAGAGGAAAATTAATTTAAGCATAGACTTTAAATTACTTCATTATCAAGGAATTATCACTTTTCAGAAAAAAAATATTCGAGAGAATTGCAGAACAGCGTAAAAGTGAATGAATGAACGAGACTGTGCCATGTTAAGAGAAGATTTCTGGTTGAAAAAAAAATCACTGCTACCAGTTGTGATTTAACTGGATTAACTGGATTGGCCCACGAAAATACTGATAGGCGTGGCCACAAGAAGATTGGTCTGATCAAAATGATGTATCAGATGTGGTTGAGAATACAAGTTTCAAAATAATATTCTTCGCCGTGAAAAATGCTGTAAGAAAGTTAAAACACACATTTACATTTTTATAACAGCATAATGATAGATTATGTCTAAAATTTATATTAAATAGCTTTTTAATCTTTTGTTTTACAAATAAGTTTTTTAATTACATATTTTTCAGAGATATTTGAGAATAATATATCTTAGATACTTTTTAGTGTCATTAAAAAATTCTCAATTCAAGTAAAAACATTATTAATATCATTCCTAAATTTTCTAGAATTTTAATTTTCTAGCATCAGTACACACGCATAATTAGATTTACATAATGATTAAATATATTTAAGATTCTAATATTATTCGTCTAATTAAAAAATATAAGCTAGATTAATTAAATAAAAATATAACAAAATAAAAAATGTTATATCTTGTGTCTACTTTTGTCGCTACTTTTGAACATGAATAATACATAATTAGAGATGGATTAGATTTCGAAAAATTTGATATGTTAGAAAAAATTGCATATATCGGTAGAACAATGTATATGTGGTCGATGATATCTCTGGAAGAGCCATATGGTTATCTTTGCGTGTAGAGGTCTGCGAAGTACACAGTCACTTAGGTGTTTATTTGAAGAGCCATGTTTGAAGCTGCCTCTCTACCCACATGCTAAGAATATTCTTCAAGATATGTACACATCGCGGTCCTCTATTCGATTTTATTAGGTTTTAGGATTTTCAAGAGTCTGTCAGATTTGCGTGATAAGCACTCTTCGAATTTAGTTAATCGATCGGCGCAAATAATTCTTATCTAAGTCAAACCACGTAAAAAAGAAAAACTCTTTGAAAATTAATTATAAAATATTTAATTAATTTAGTATAAAATTCTGTTACGATGTTATATATATATGTTGATTTTATTAGTGAAATAAATATAATTAATTCAATACATAATTTTAAAAATAACACATTATTAAGATAATTATTATAAAATAATTTATATTTGTTGCCTACATATCTATTTTATTTTTTATGAATTATTTACTATTATTGATTTACTCTATCTTAATAAATCTTATTATTTTGAATAAGATTTAATAAATATAATGAACATGTATAAATGATAAATCTACCTAAAATATAATACTTTTATATAGTTTATATAATTTGTAATCTCAATTATATAAGGCATAACTTCTCGAAAGCATAATCATTCCTTCATAAAGTTTGTCGGTTTCAAAATTATTCTCCATTGGATCGAATATTAAAACGTTACGCTTGGGGCGACTTAATTTTTGTAGATTTTGCAGATTCTAAAAAAATTAATTAGTAATTTAATAGTATAATCGATTAGTTGGTATTTATCAAGAATCTATTTGTATTCTTGTAATATGTTATAATTTACGATTTCGTAATACTACGGCGGTTTTCTGAAAAAAACCTTTTAAAAGAATAGATTATTTTTTAGAAATTTAATAATAATATATTTAGTATATATAATAGCAGTATATATAATAAAAATGATCTTTAAATTTAGTATATATAATCTATATATAATTTAGTATAATAGTATATATAATTTAAATTTAGTATATATCTCTAAATTTAGTATATATAATAAAAATGATCTTACCGAAAATACAACGACATTCCCGTTAGTATTAGTATTATTGGCCATATTGCGACGAATTGCTGTTATTATAAGTGTAAGGAGATAACCGCCAAATGCGAGAAACGAAAGCGCAGTTACTGCGCTTTGAAAGATTTTTGAAATCTTTGATTCCTTGCCTTTTTCATCATAATGCTCCTCATATCGTCGCATAGGTTTCTTACTACTTCTTTTTAATGGCAAAGCCATTGGCATTGTCAGGGAACTTCTACTAGATACATCTTCGCGCGCGTTTCGATCCTCATCAGTAATATCTGCAAATAACGTAAAAATAGATTAGGGAAAAAATGTCTGCTTAGTATATATTTTAAATCTGATTTTTTTATAATATATAATAATAACAAATAATAAAGATTTAAAAAATTGCTAATATTACATTATAAATTATATTTAATGAAGGATTTATAATGACAATAGTTTACCATTTTCCGGACTTCCAAAGGAAGATCTTATTTGGATTAATTTATTCATTGGCAATTCACTTAAACTGCGAACCTCATCCATATATAAAGATGATTGTTCTCCAGTTGCCATTTTTAAAATGCAAGATGAATAAAATATCAGCAAAGTGCAATGCATAGTCAAATCTTCTGAAATTTGTGAATAAGATAAAATATTGGATGCCCCAAAACTCATGGTACAAATAAGAAGAAATAATTCTACATAAAAAAATAAATCAAACATTTAATACGAAGAGCATAATTATGTACGAAATGAGCATCACTTCAAACAAATTTTTTAAATTAATATAAAATAATGTTCTTGAGAAGTAAATATATTTTGTCTCTTATTATGTAATCTTTTGATATTGATAATCATATAAAAATATTTCATTTTACATGTTTGATTTTTTTTTGTACAGAATATCACTTCCTTCCCATTTATACCATCACTTTTGGCATCCCGGTATAAATATTTTACTTTTAAATGTAACTTTTGCTTAATATGTTAAACACTTTTCGAATAGGTTCTATAAATAGAACGTTGAAAACTATGCAAACTTGAACTGTTACTTCTAGCACCTTCGTTAGCCTTTCTACTGACTTCTAACAGAAATGTGACTAAATCACATACTGCGAAACATGCTGCGGATGTCTCCTTGCGCTTGGCTGGCGAAGCAAGAAGAGCGACAGTCGCCTAACACGCGACTCAATTGGAGCTTCGTCGGAGACGCAGCGGAATAGAAATAAACGCACAATTAACGCGAAACACCCGTTATGATTTACTTTAGAAAGATTCTCGATAGTCTCAGTACTGGACAGTTAGCGTCAACGAAATGTCGAATATCTCGTGTCTCTTCTTTTGCATTATTTGGATAACTATATTTGATAATGTGCTGCTCGCAAAAACCGAAGGTGAGAGCTTATTTTTCTTCTGGAAAAACTACATAAATTATTGCTGATTAAATGTATATATAAATCATCAAATCATTCGCTCTCAATTTATTATAAATAATGACAAAAATTTTAATAAAAAATATTACATATACATAATAGTACTAGAAATGATTCAATATATGTATAGTATAACATATTAGTAATAAAATAAAATTTAAAATAAAAATTAAATAGAAGATAAATTTTATATATTTTTTTTGTTTGATTTAGAAAGGAGATTTTCTACGCAAAAAGATATTTTAGAAAATTAACAATTTTGTATAAATATAGAAAGTATTAGTAATTGTATAAATAATTCACATATTGTAAAAATATTCTGCAAATTATCTTAGATTAAAAATAAATTGCATTATGAAAACAATTATTATATACCTTAATTCCAGATGTCCTGCATAAGATAAAAACAGGATTGCAGTATGCAAGTAATTATTTGGAAACAGCCAAGGATATCGCCGATTTAGTATCTAAGAGTTTAGGCGGTAAACAGAAGCAGAAGCGCGGTGACAATGAAAATGATGATGCAAAACAGCCATTTGGTCCTTCAAATCTTGTCTCCGCATTCTTTCACCTCATTGGACTTGATTCGCAAAAAGTCGCAGCAATCGCGGTCAACAGCGTTATATTTCTTGCACAGATGGTAAATATTATATGCAATATTATTAAGTATCAGTACTTTTCATATTTAAGTCAAATTCACAATATGTTTTTCCTATTTTTCTTTTAACAGATAAGTTCGCTCTTTGGATTAAAATCACAAGAAAATATCGCCAAAAATATAGATGACAAAGTACTCGCTTGGGACCCTTTAAAATTTACTTTAGAAAATAAAAATGAAAAAGTAAGTTATTGTAAACATGAAGATGACTTTGATTTCGATTTTGATTTAAATAATAGTTTAAAAAAGATTACTTGGATTTAATTTATTCAAATTTTTATCGAGTTTTAATTTATTTAAATTTTTATCAATTTTTCTATAATAATCAAATCTAAGATTTGTATAATTTTAGACAAATTTTTTAGATTTTTAAAATTATATATAAATACAAAAAATTCTGTTACATGTAATTATAATTCATATAATTAACATTATATATTGTACATGTAAACTTTCTCTTCCTCCCTTTCTTTCTCTCTCTCTTTGATAAGAACTTCATATTTAAAAGAGCTATAAATTTAAGTCTAAAATTAATTTATAATTAAAATATATTTATATAAGCAAATGCAATGCAATTGCAACACATTTTTTAATTCTATTCAATAGATTCAACGTTTGGTTGAGCAAGCAAAAAATCCGAATCTACCAAATCAATTGATTGCAAGAATGGCTGGTCCTGATTCTGCTTGTATCAGATTACTAGTATGCAAATCATCTCCGGTAATAAAAGCGGCGCAAAATTCTCTTAATAATAAATCGCAGAATCATATGCATCGATTAATCGCTTGGCTACCTTCTAAAGAGGAATTTGAAACAAACAGCGACGAATGCGAGGATAATCATACCGATTGTAGTTTATTTTTGTCGTAATAACAATTATCAGTGTGAGAGAAAAAAATAAAATTTCTTATCAGAAAATTCAAAGATATATGCGTAATTATATATCAAATAATTAATCTTAAAATTATAAGATATAATTATAAGATCAAATAATTATATTTTCAACAGCGCATTATTTTGATTTTAAAACGAGGAAGAAGTTGTTTTCTTTTTCCCTTTATACTATATTATATAAAACATATAATAATAATATATAAATAACAAAAAGTGATAAATATATTACATTATATAATTGTACATTCCATATAGATTTTCTATTCATATTGCTTTGTCCATTCTTTGCGCAATAATATTTAGAATTCTCATTAAAAGCTATCATTAATAATCATTTTCCATAATATATGGCACGAAAAGTTAAATATAAAAATTTATAATACTCTCTCACATAATCTTTCTTGCGTTTGAAATACCTTTTACGCACATTTACCAAGTATCTGTTGATTAAATATCCCAAATTCGGGAAACATTTCTGTTCCTCATGATCTAAAAATAAAAATTTACTAGTAGATAATTATATCTTTTAATGAGAAAAGATTCTGTTCATTTCGACTTTTTTAACAAATTAGAAATTACATAAAGTACACAATTATTCAAGTCAACATTATATCTACATTTCAACCGTCAATTAGTCTACATCGTACATTTAATGAGATGCGATCACATCATATTGTGATATTACATACGTTATGTGGTTATATCATCTTTCTCTAAGAATTGTCCAAGGTCAATACATCGAAGTAATCGTCGCTGGATAAATTCGATCGACATCAAAAATGTTTGGCATATGGGTTCAATTCTCTATTTATAATATATATAATTTACATGATGTATATATAGTGTGATGTCTATTATTTGCTAAGAGAAAGTTTTGGCATTTGAAAAATGACTGATTAAGTATAGAGGCATTTTTGCCACGATTGCGCGCGATATTCACAATAATAATAGTCTTCAAAAATAGTAGCAATATCTTACGCATACGTCTTATCACTTTTCTTATCACGCAAGTAAAAAATGTTTATATTCAACATAAATATCCAAAATTTGGTTTATATATAAAAGAGATATAAATTATAGAAATCTATAAAGTCTTCTATAAAGTATATATTATGATAGAATGTCTATATTTTTGATTCGAGTTTCGTAAAATCACAAGTGATTCATTAGAATATCGCGCACGATCAATTATAATATACGATATACCACATATTCGTCGAACGCGTTTAATAATATATAATATAGTTATATTATGTTACAACATATGTGCACACGCGCACGCATATGTTACATATCTTAATCGAGATCTCGAAAATATATAAAGAATCAACAGACTATCGAAGAAATGGATCGTTATATGCATTGTACCGCATGAGAGAGGGATCTCTCTTTTAACTTTGATAATATATGTATATTGAAATATAATATATATCGTATTTACAAACGCGTTCCATAAAGATCCCATTTATATATATAGGTGCCTACGCATTCATCCTATATCATTAATTTACAAGCTTTACATGTACATAGCATTATATATGTATATATAAAGTTTATTTACCGAAAGTCAAAGCATATGTGTCATCGCGTATAGATATGCTTACGCTAAAGAAGAGCTGATTAAGTTCAAAACACGCTGGAAGACAAAAGAGGGAACTAACTTTTCTAGAATCATTTCTTAAGTCTCTTTGATATTATTGAACAATATTCATTCTTTGTTTATTCACATTTTGTTCTAAAAAATTCAAGAAGGCAATAGTCTCGTCACTTAAGACACTTTATTTAAATTGAATTTATTTGAATTATGCAATACCGTAGTCGATCTATAAAATTTGTGGGACTTATAATTAAATTTATTGATTAAATTGATTCAAATTTATCAAGGAATGATTAATTAAATTCATGAAAACTCGAATAATTAAAGAACGGTGCTCTATATAAATAATTATTGGAAATTATGCATTTACATCACATTGTTCAACTTTATTCTCTTTCACACGTGAATTATTTATCGCACAATGACACGTACAATATTCTTAATAATTTTGATCGTCGATTCAATAACGAAGGAAACAAGATTCGGAGCAGCAAGCGAGCGCAAATTTGAAATCCGTACAAATCGGGAATGTAGATTCATATGCCGGACAGGATTATCACTTCAAAAGGATTTGACAATTTCTAATTTCTCGAGAGAATTGCAAAATTGTTTCTAGCTGATTCCTAATCATATAAAATCTACGTAAAATAAATAAATTTGAGAAGTACATTGCACAATAAGCTATTCTATAAATAAAATATTACGCTAATTGCTTATCACTAATTAAGTAATAACAATATTATACCTTCAATTAATATTTGATTCAAAGTCATATGATTAATTGAGAATAAGGATTAATTTTACAGATGAAAAGAGGTTTGGAAAAAGAGAATTGTTTTTTCTGGACGTTTAAAGGGTTGCTTGACCCGGACTGATCAGATCGGTGGTTTCGACACGAGCTTGGCGTAGCCAATCTCTTAGGTTTCTGGTCCTTTCCATCAAATTAGAAGCGTTTCTCTCGACTGTGCCAACGCTCGTGGTAAAGCCGCTATTAGGGCCGTATTGAGCGATAATATTTTGAGTTGTGGTAGTAGGAGGTTGGGCAGCGGTTAATTGAGATAAAATGTTGGATTGTATGTTGGGCGTACCAAAGGCACCTACAACAAATAAACATATCTATAATATGTTTCTGACAAACAAGAACAAATAACCAGATTATAAACAAATTTCTTTTATCGCACGTGTATGGGACCATTTATAAAAATCTATATAAATCCAATTTCGTGAAAAATATGTATAATCAATATCAAATAATATTACTTTGTATATTATTAAAATGGATATCAAATTATATATAAAATTAAAATTATTTTATATTGGTTTGCAATAATAATTAAATTTTTGCATACACTATATCTGTCTTTCTTTACCTTGCATGCTGTTAGGCTGCGTGGTGAGATGATGAAACCGCAACCATCGCAAATAAGAGTACATAAGAGCCGGTGTTGGTGGTATGTTGTTATCCTGACGCTTATTCAAGACATCCCAAATTTCTCGTATTTCTGAGTTCAAGTTCTCTAAACTTGCGATGATTTCAGTAGATTCTTGATAATGATCTGGCTTATCTAGATTTCCAACAACAGACTATACAATATAACGCATATTTATGCTGTCATTCATATAGTAATTATGTATCACGTTAAATACAATTTTATTTCTTTCATAATTTTTAAAAAATAAGCTATTTGATTTTTTCTATGAAACTGATAATAATCTATGAAACAAATAGAAATAATTACGCTAAGAAAAAATTTATATTTTTATTATATTTTCAGTTAAATATTTATCTTTAAATAGTCGAGCCTAAAAGACTTCCGACTGACATAAGTAAGAATATATATATTTAATAAATTGGCAAGCAAATTGCGTGCACGACAATTAAGAATTATAAAGATTAAATACGAAATGATAGTTAAGTAAAATATTTTTTTATTATTTTTAATAATATTAAGACTTTATATCTTATCATTGTTTATATATATTATCTAAAATTTATATCTTCTACGAAATAATTTAATTTCGAAACTTTATCTGTGCAGCATACCTATAAAAGTGTCAGTTCCCAAATCAGTCGAGCTGAAACCGCTGCTGGCGCTCGACATATCGCTCAGTGTCAATTCATCATTTTTTATGGAAGACGCATCGTTTTCATTTCGCTTGTCGTTTGCCACTCGTTCCAAAGACTGTTCCAGGTGTCTTAGATGTATAACTTTCTCACCCAGAAGACTTCTGGTACGATGCAAACTCACCTCCATGTCAGAAAGCTCGCGTTCCTCCTGCGAATAAATATTTCAAAATTTTTTTAAAACAATAATACTATCATATTAAAGACAATCTTTCCTTCATGCTTTTTATATTATTAAAAAAATAGAAATATTTAGTATAGTCGCAATAATGGTGACTAAAACTTTATATACTATTTAAATAACGTCAAAAAATGAAAGATAGTTACAAATTTGAACAAGTAACTTTTAATTTGTGATAATTAATAATACCTGCACCAATTGTTCCAGAGTGGCCCTCGCGCTCCGTTGTTTCCAAGCTCTTTGCCTACCCTGAAAGGCACTTCTCTGTTGTCTCAGCGCTTCGCGAGCCCTTCTCACCGAGTCCCTCTCCACATGGATCCGGTGTCGGAAGAATTCTAGCTCCGAAGAGGCATTCGCTGGCGCTGTAAGAGAAAGCATTTGCTTTCGTTTTGAAGCAGGATCTTGTTTCTAATAAAGTAGTAAATCTTAAGCTTCATATGTTCAAAGCCTAATATGAAAATGATAGGATTTGTGAATAGAGCGTGCGAAAGCAAAACTAATGGTGCACTTACGAACAAGTCGAAAGATATAAGCCAGATTAACCAAAGTAAAGTGTATATAATCCTATGGAACAGAAAAGAAATAATATATATAAAACGTAAACGTAGATATATTTTGTCGATAAGAATAATAGATACAAATAACGAGATATAATAAATATAATATATATACTGCGGTTCAATCTAGAGGGATTAAATATTACTAATTTGCAACTAGTTTTGAAATTGAATTATTTACACATTTATAGAATCGAGGTATTAACAATAACTGTGCCAAAAAATGAGATAATACAATCGACAAATTAATATAATCGACTAGAAATAACTGCAATATATACATACATAATATATTATATACATGTACAATATATCATTTATACAAATCATTTCGTAATATTTTAGCAAAAACATAAGACAGCGAGAAAGAAAGAGAGAAAAAATACAAATATAAGAAACTTAGAATAATATTGATATAAAAAAGGGAGTCTAAATATAATAAAATTATACTTATTTACAGTATGCAAATAGACAAATTTTTCCAATTATTAATTTTTTCCAACATCATGAAATGGTGTAAAACGTTATTTATATTTCTCTAAAATTTC